CGATGTACCTGATGGTGTGGAGAATGGGGAAGAAAAGGGGGGGAAGGGAGGGGGAAGAGACGCCAGGCTCGGATGCAAATGCTGTTGTACGGATAAAGCGTCCAGAAGCAGCAGCGCATATTGGAAGATGGCAGTGAAGGTGGAATGTCCAGGGTGCCTCACTCACAGGGAACGAGAGTAGCAGATGAAAGAGAGAGGATCGTTGAAAGAGAACGTACAGGTAGTAGAGGTAGGAGAGGCTGCTGAGGCACGAGGGCACGGAGCCAGTGAAGCGGTTGTAGCTGAGGCGACTGGCGGACAGGCGGGGATAAGAGCAGAGAGGAGGGACGTACTGAGGGGTATGGGCAGGACGTGAGGAGGGGGACAGGTAGGCGGAGAGAGGGGCAGCTAAGAATAGGCTAAAACCGTGCGAGCAGAAAGTGCAGCCAAAAGAGTATTCTGCTCCTGCCAGACGTGGTCTAAGCGCAAAGCAAAGCAACATGCGTAGGCAGTCCAAGCGAGTCATTCGCTGCGTTTAGTTCGTCACCCAAGGGTATTAGCCTGCAATGCTTACAGCTCTCTCAGATTCTTCATGGTGCAAACGACCGTGGGGAACGAGGTGTTGAGCATGTTGCTGGACACATAGCTGTTGCGGGGCATCGCAGGGAGGCGTGACGGAAGGATATGAGGAAGCGTGGCACGAGGATATGACGCAAGGAAGATACTACTCTGGAAGGATACAATGCAGGGGACGTAGGGGAAGTAGGGGAAGTGGTTAAGTCAAGCGGATGGAAGGACAGACGCGGGTGGAAGGTACGAGGCGGCCTTGAACCAGTGGTATGACTCACGGACAACCAAAAGCCTGAAACCAGCTGAAGAGAGCGGCCTGCCAACCTGACCAGTGTCGTATGCTTTTTAGACCTGGCCGTTTAGACTCCTCGCAGAGACACAAAGTTCCCAAGGTCGGGCTTCCAGCCTGGTAGAAAACGTACAATTTCTGCATGTTGGTCAGCTGCGAGAAGGTGTCGGGCAGCCCGCCTGAAAAGTAGTTAAGGTTCAGGTGCCTGGAGCAAGAACGGATGTGGGCAAAGAAACGCAGAAAGGGACAGAGAGGAAGGAGAAACGGAAGGTGGTTTATTGGGGGAGGGAGCGGATGACTGAGAGGAGGCGATGGCAGAGAGGAGAGGATGGCACACTGGATGTGGATGTGGTGTGAGTTTTGTTTATGTGATGGGCAAGCACAACCGAAGGAATGGCATAACTCTTGAAAGTACGGCATAAGACGGCATGGCATGACTGTTAAAAGTACGGCTCACAGCTGCACGAGGTTCTTCATGTTGCCCCATGACGCGGGGATTGGACCCTCGAAGTAGTTCTTGAACAGCTGCCTGCAAGGTGGTGGTAGGCCGGACAGGACGGTGAGGCACGGGAGGAAAGAGGGGAGACGGAGACAGGTGCGAGATGAACAGGAGAGAGGGGAAAACAGCGAGTTGAGGACAGTTAAGGACTGGCTTTGCGTGTCGGTAATCTATGGCACAGCATGACTGGGCGAAGTAAGAGTTCGGCAGGGTTGTGCGTGATTGCATAACGACATAGGCCGGGAATGCGGACTGACAGGTTCTTGATGGCTGTGAGTTGACTGAACGAGTCGGGAAGAGGTCCCTGCAGCCAATTGGTGGTGGCGAAGCTGGTGGCGGCCGAGGGAGAAAAAAAAAGGGCGGGACGAGAGGGGAGGGGGGGGGAGGGAGGAAGAGGAGAAAAAGGGATCGAGATGATTGTTTGAGAGGGAATGGATGGGGGAAGGAGAGAGCAATGAGAGAGACTGCAGGTAGGGAGCAACGATTCTATTCTTGACCCAGCCCAACATTATCTAAGGAGTCCTACTGCCGCCAATCCATCCCAGCATCCACCACTATTCTATCCCCTTCCGGCCCTTTCCGTCTCCCTGGCTCCCCCCATCCTCCCCCCTCTCTCATGCGCATCCCTCCTGACATCCCCATCCCCCGCATTCCTTCCCACCATCCCTCAAACCTCCCCTCATCCATCTCTCTCCCATCCCACCTTATCCCCCCCTCGCGCTCAACACATCACCGCATTCCCCACTCCTTACCTCAAACCCTCGCCCTTCCCTCCCTCCCCGCCACTGACAATTCGTCGAGGCTGGTGAGGTTGCCGATGACGGACGGCAGGTTGCCCTGGATGGCCTTGGAGCTGATGTCCATGCGCCGCACCAGCCCGTTGGTCCAGCACGTGATGAGCCACCACGCCGCGCATGGGTTCGTGGCCGTCCAGGACGTGAGGTTGATGTACGGCGTCAGCGCCGCCTTCAGCTCCATCATCGCGGGGACTGGAGGGAACGGAGGGGGGATAAACGGGGAAGCGGGGCAGAGGGGCAGAGGGTTGCGGTACGGCAGTAGTGAGGTGGTTGTCAATGCACGACGGTCAAATGTCGGCGGACACCACGCGGCGTAGGGGTTGGAGGCCGTCCAGGACGTGAGGTTGATGTACGGCGTTAGCGCCGCATTCAGCTCCATCATCGGCGGGACTTGAGGGGAGAAAATGGGTGGGGGAAGGTGAGAGAGGGGAGAGAGGGCAGAGAGGGCAGAGAGGGCTGAGAGGGGGAATGAAATAAACTGGCGGATATGAGGTGGTTTTGTACAATCCATGACGAGCATTGGTCGTAGCATCCAAGGCGACTTGGTTGGCGGATGGAATCACGTCTGGTTTGAGGTCAGAAGATTGAGCTATTGGCTATTGGACGACCGTCACCTGGCAGGTGACCGGAGATCAGAAGAAAGCACGTTGGGCTAAATGGACTATGGCCGCTGCGTTGTGTGGAACGTGCAATGTGATGATGCTGGGATGCTGTAATGTGAGGCGATGATGTGAAGGTGACCATGAGGGGATGGCGGAATGCGTGACAGTAACGCATCCGGACAAGCGGCAGTCGCTAAAGTCTATCTGCTTACTCTGCGACGAAGCGACATAGACTACAGTCGTCTGAAGCTTGCGCGGGAGGGCAGCCGATGTCATGGATGCTGACATCAGCAGCGACAGGACTAGAACGAGAGACATAGTAGCGGCTGCTCTCCCTGGAATCTGGAGGACGAAACACATCGTGGTGACTGGGAGTTAGAATGTAGCCGCTCAGGGTAGCTATCCACTTCTGGCTTTAGACGCGAGAACTATGCACGAGACTCTGGAATAGCTGGCGCGGTGGTGAGCGCTTCGTTCACCAGCAAACAGGCCACATATGATGAAACCACGGCAGTGAATGCTGTAGCAAAGTCGTCTGCATTTGTATGACCTGAAGGTGGAGCAGATTTGTCATGAGCAGCAAGAAACAGACTGGCAGGAAACACTTCCAGTCAGACAGGCAGAGGAAGGGACGGAGGCAAGGCGGTTTCTTGGCCCTGTTCGTTAGCAACTGAGTCTCGTGGCAACCTGCAGGCAACCGAGTCTGAAAATAGATCGCGCTGGCAGGAAACAGGTTCGACACAGCGCACTCATAAAATTCTGAGAAGTCTCCAGCTTCCAGCAGCAATCCTTCCTTCACGCCGCAACCAAGCAAAAATGGCGAAGTCCTCCACACACAGACTTACCGTGCTCCTCCCACCCACACCACCCGAAACCCAGAATTTTCGGCTAAGTCCGTCACAGCCAGGAACATTCCTCCCTCCCAAACAGAGATAGTCCTCTACTCACACCCACGAAACTTAGAATAATCGGCTAGCCCTCATTGCAGGAACATTCATGACATTACCCTATGACATAGAGAATTTGGCTAAGTCTTCCTAACACAGAGATACTCTTCCCACCCCGACCACCCTAAACCTAGAATATTTGACGTCCCTCACTTTCTGGCAAATTCCTCCTACTGCCCCCGCAAGCCCACTCAACTAGGAAGATTTGGCTAAAAACGTTTAGCCACATACCCCTCCCCCCCCTTCCCGCAACCCAGAAAGTTGCGAAGGTTGCTGACACAGATTCTACCCTACTTTAGCGGGTTTGTCAGAAAACTAGCGAAAGAATTAACACTCCTAACATAGTAAGCCCAAAAGTACTCTCTTTTCTTGGCACGCCGTAAATAATACTCTGTCTGGACCTTGAACATTGTGACATGTCCGAGTCAGTGTTTGCTATAACTCGGCTAAAAGCAACTTTGTACCCAAATCCGGATTAAACAGAAATAAACTACCATGAAATCTGGACGAATCAGGGTGCAGTCGGGAGCGGAATCGGGGAAAACGAGAGTTCCAAAATAACCTTAGCGTGAGACCTGGTTCGACAGAACAGAAATCGTGCACAAGTGTCAGGCTTCATGGGCTGGCATTGGAAGGGAGGAAGAAAGTCAGGGGGGTATCCAAAGTGCCCAGCGACATGCGACGACATCCATCTACATCACGGATGTCGACACACCGATCTAGAAGCTTTCTGTACCTCTCTAAAAGTTGACTAAATCGTAATGAAACTACAGTACCTTGGATGTCGGTGGTCGACGACGACGACATCGGTACTGTTGATGCTTCGTCCAGCGTGACTTGAATGCACCAGCACAGTACTGTACTGTAGAAATGTACACACTTCGCTCTTATCGCCTGGGCCGTCGGGTTGCGGGCTACGGTATGCACAAGTTGTTAACCTTGTCCGTAACGAGATCACCTGAGGACCAGGTTAGGCATTTCCAGTGTAACGGACAAAATGAGAAAAACCCGCTTGTGACGTATGATCAGTGGTCAGGTCACACACCGAAACAAGGGACTGGAATACGAATCAGTTATACTTCAGCTGTGCATTGCTTTCGACTTAGGAAAAAAAAAACAAGGGTGCACCATGGACGTCTAGAAAAAACCAACAACTGTGAGCCTGCTTTCAGTATACATCCTGCATTGCAAGGGTGAAGTGTCATGCACAAGGGGATTCAAATAAACCCTCTAGATGTTGTGCCTAAGCACTTCAAAGACAGTTGCCGGTACTGATGTCCACAAACTCTCATTCATTGCTGCTTAGTGCCTCGTGTATTGTGAGAAACCATGAAGCCAGTAGAAAAAGGAACCCAACAGCTGTTGAATATGGTGAACACCTCATAAAATAGTGTGTGTAGGAACTACTATCAATGAGCCAACACTTGACTCGCCCTGAAAGCTCCTTTAGATATCATACTCGGTTGTGGCAAAAGACACCTCTTCAGCGTACTTGCTGACAAGTGACTGGTAAGCATCAACTTGGCCATTATCATAGTCGCCCATGGTGCCTGCACGTGCAATAGAAGCCAATGTGGGGTCTCAGGAATAAGAAAGGACGTGTGAACCGATACGACACCGGGAACGGGTGGATTCAGTGCAAGGAAGAGGAAGATAAGCACCTGGTTTCCACATGACGAACACACTGGCTCCGACTTCTTTCTCCGCGTTCAAGAACCGAATAGTGTATGTAGGAAAGTCGCCTCGCATGGACTTTCCCGTAACCAGCCTCGCACCAGAAACCGAGCTCAACAGGAGGTGAAAGTCCACATTTTCCTCTGCCTTGATGACATTGGCATACTCGCCTTTGCCTGGCAGTGTGTGGTAGAAAAGACCTTCTAGAGTCGTAACTGACTCTAGCACGCCCATTCCAGTGTTAACAATCAGCCGGACCTGCAATCTTAAGGAGAAAAACATTAGCGAAGGACAAAGTGGCAAGCAACCGCGATAAACCACACGCACCGTCACTGGACACTTGCCCTGCCGACGTTCTTCAAATCGCTGAGGAATTCCTTCAAGTTAGCGGTCGCTCCTGTGTCTGCATCGAACGTGTCAGTAGAGTTGGACGCCCTGATGGGGACCACTCTGGACTGCCTTCCGACGGAAAGCTTGGCTACTTTAACGGGTTTTGCACATAATCGGTGAGACTGTGCTACAGATACGACGACATTAGGAACAACAGCCGACCATGTCAGAGTCGAGGCAGTGAACGCCATGTCTGGCAAGGCTGTGAAGCTGGAATCAGCAAATGTGAAATGTGAAGTTGGAAGCAAGTGTGTGCTGACTGTTCAAAACAGATTCTCCCGACAAAAACAAACTTTCATCACCAAGCGCACAGCGACAATTCGCCAACAGCGTAACATTCGTCGACAATTTCGTCAAACACGGAAAATCATGCCAAACATATGGTTACCTGGTTGGGGAAAACGGTTACCACATTTGGTTCGGATATTACAAACCATCACATGCCGAATCTACCTGGCAGAGCTACATTATCGCTGGCCTGCGTGGCACACGAACGAACCTGCTGTCGTCCTCCGTCAAACCCATCCTGGAAAGGTTAGCCACAAGATCATGCATACGTGGCGGGCATCTGCTGGAAGCAGCTTCCCGTCCCCCTCCATGCCCCCAGCATACCTGGTTAGGGTTCCATCACGTCCTCCCCCTCCTTTACTGGGTCTTCCAGAAATTCCAGTTTGTTGGAACCCAGGGAGCACTTCGTGCTAGATCTCACAGCTTTGCAAATAGGCGGCCATTGCAATTTAGACTCCAAGCAGCGCAGCTTGCAAGCGCAATGGCTGCCATTGCCCAGTCTGCCATTGTCGGCGCGATTTGCGGTCCCGCTGTCGCCTCAGCGGAGGTTTCCAGCAGGACCAGCATTGTCTCTTTCAATGGTCTGAAGGCCACCTCTCTCCGTCAGTCTGTGAAGGCCTCCCTCTCGCAACGCGTCTCGTCTAAGCGCGCTGGTCGCGTTGTGTGCGAAGCCACTGGCACCGAAGGTCCGTAACGTTTAAAGTGGGTTTTCAGCTTCGTCTGTTTCCACGTGTCAGTCAGTTAATTCTGGTGTTGTTGTCTTCGTCTGCAGTCGCGGGCCCTGTGACGGATGCAACCTTCAAGAGCCTCGTTCTGGAGAGTGATGTTCCAGTCCTGATCGACTTCTGGGCCCCATGGTGCGGCCCTTGCAGAATGATTGCTCCCCTCATCGATGAGCTCGCGAAGCAGTATGCAGGAAAGCTCAAATGCTACAAGCTGAACACCGACGAGAGCCCCAACGTGGCTACAGAGTACGGCATCCGGAGCATCCCCACTGTGATGATCTTCAAAAAGGGGAAGAAGGTCGACACCGTCATTGGTGCTGTTCCTAAGTCTACCCTCACCACCACCATTGACAAGTACTTGTGAGAGCTCATTTGAGGTCTCGCGTACTTAGAGCTCATCTTCATGTGGATGTTAACCTGCGAATTTTTTTCGTCAATTGTAGTAAATCCAGCCTCGCTCTGTGACCTAGAAGGTTGCAACGAAAACTCGCAGGGTAGAACCCTTTAGTTCTATCACGCGGTTCAGCTAGCTTGTTACAGATGTAACCTCCACTTGGTGAACGTGAGGAATTTTCCATTCCTAATCGTGCCACACCGCTAATGTGTACACCAGCCTCACCCTGCACCGTCAACTGCCCTAGCTTTGGCCCAAACAAGGCATCAAACCAAACCATTTCTGCTTGACTCCGAAGCGCTGTTCTCAGATGCCTTCTTCGATGTTGGAAATGATAAAAATGCAACCACTGGGTCACGAGTCCTAACCACTGGGACAAGGGATGTCATCAGGAGGGTTATGCTCCATAGATCCACCTTCACCAAGGAAAGCCTCCTCAGTACCCTCCCTAGAGATAGAGAGGATTGACTAGGGTTATCCCAGTGCCACGACAAAAAGAACGAGTCAGGAATGTCAACTTGTACATATTATCTATGTAGAAGTTATAGGCTAGACTAAGGTATGCTTCTAGTGAGTACAACCAACTAGTATTTGTTCTAGGTTTCCACTTCAAGTCATTATTCGTTCTCACTTTGACATGGTATCACGCGTAGGTTAGCATCCCCCACCTACCGCTTCCGCCCGTACCCTAGCTAGGCCACGTCGCGCCTCCTAGCCCCGTCGCGCCTCCTAGCCACGTCGCCCCCCTCCTGGGCCACGTCGCGCCACCCTAGCCCCGTCGCGCCACCCTAGCCCTGTCGCGCCCCTCCTGGGCCCCGTCGCGCCTCCTAGCCCCGTCGTGCCCCTCCTGGGCCCTGTCGCGCCACCCTAGCCCTATCGCGCCACCCTAGCCCCGTCGCGCCCCTCCTGGGCCCCGTCGCGCCTCCTAGCCCCGTCGCGCCACCCTAGCCCCGTCGCGCCCTGCCTGGCCTCGTCGCGCCTGCTCGGCCTCGTCGCGCCCTGCCTGGCTCCGTCGCGCCCGCCTGGCCCCGTCGCGCCCTGCCTGGCCCCGTCGCGCCCTGCTTGGTCCCGTCGCGCCCTGCCTGGCCCCGCCGCGCCTGCGTGGCCCCGCAACGCCTCCCTGGCCCTGCCGCGCCTGCCTGGCCCCCGCAGCGCCTCCCTGGCCCCGCCGCGCCTGCCTGGCCCCGCCGCGCCTCCCTGGCCCCGCCGCGCCTGCCTGGTCCCGCCGCGCCTGCCTGGCCCTGCCGCGCCTGCCTGGCCCCGCCGCACCTGCCTGGCCCTGCCAGCACCTGCCTGGCCCATTCGCCTCGGCTCGTCCTGCCGTGCCGCCTCGGGCTCCGTCTCCTCTGCTCGCCCGTGCTGAGGCGCTTCGCGGCCGCCGTGCTGGAGGGGGTTGTCGCTGTGTTCCTGCGTCGCTGTGTTCCTGTGGAGCTGTGCCGCTGACCCTGCACGATGGCGGACTTCGTGCTCCGACTGGACGCCGAGGGCCATGCGGTTGACTTCGCCGCCTGGCTCTCCGATCTCCGCCGCCACCTTACAGGTCAGCGCCAGGATGGCCACTCTTTGGTTGTCCATGTCGACGGCTTGCTCCCCCGCCCCCCCGCACCTGCTCCCCTCACTGCTGATCCCTCATCTGATGACCGTGAGACCTTCTCTACTGCTGCGCTTGCCCGTGCGGTCTGGGACTCCTGCGATGCAGTCGCTCAGGTTGCCATTAGCCACGCCCTCCCTGTCTCTGAGCGCTCGCGTTTTGCTACTATTGAGACGGCCAAAGCTTACTTAGACGCTGTTATTGCCCGCTATTCCACACCTGCGTCTGCTTCTGCTGGTCGCCTGCTATTCCCTATGCTTTTCCCAGACCTTGCAGCTTTCCCTACCGTCGCAGACTTTGCCACTCACCTGCGTGCCCTAGAGACCCGCTATCGCACTGCGAGCACTGCCGCCCAGCTCACTGCGCTCCCCCCCCATTTCTGCATGACGCTCTATTTTATCGCCATGCGCCTGCCAGACCGCCTCGCTAGTGCTCGCGATCACTTTCTTAGCCAGCACCCGGGTGACCTCACTCTCACTGCCTTTGTCGACACCCTTACCGAGATCGAGACTCGCCAGCGCACTATCGCTCAGTCGAGCGGTGCGCCGGCAGTTTCTATCTTTCACGGTTGTGCCCCCTCCCAGTGCGTTCACTGACGTTTCGGCTGCGGTCGCCTCGGCGGCCCCTCTCACCGAGACGGTTGGTGCGGTCCACCCGCAGCAGCGCTCGCGCCGCGGTGGCCGTGGTCGCCAGGGGGGTAGGGGTGGTGGTGGCAGTAGTGGTGGTGATGGTAGTCCGCCTGCGGGGACTACCACTGGTGGGCAGGAGCAGCAGCCCCAGTCGCAGCAGGAGCAGCCCCAGCCGCAGCCGCCGCCCCAGCAGCAGTCACCGTCCCAGCAGCAGTCGCCGCAGCAGTGGGCCCGTCTCCCGCCTGGTTGGCTCGGCACCTCTGGAGGTAGTGGGCGTGGTGGCGGCCCGCGCAGCTTGGCGTCTACCGGCGGCTCCGGTGCTGTCACCTGCCAGTACCAGCTTCAGACCAGGCCTCTTCGCGGCACTCTGTGCCGCCGCCCGCACCCGACTGCCCGCTGTTTCCGCCGCCTCGACGATCTCTTTCGTCGTCGCTTTGGCCCGGCCCCGGACCTCCCCGACTGGCACAGCCTACTACGCCAGGGCGTGCCGATCTTTGAGTTAGACATGGATCAGCTAGGTGCTGCTTTGCATGCTTTGTATTCTGACGCTGCTAGTTTTGCTGGATCTTATTACTCGGTGTACTCTAGTTTAGGTGTTGCACCACTGTGTAGCTTAGCCTCCCCTGCTGCGTCAGGCGTAGGACTGCCTAGGTTGCCTAGTCTAGTCGCTGCACCGGCTCCGTCCCCAGCCTCCGCCACTGCGTCGCTGTCCTTCACTCTCGACTCCGGTGCTTGTGCCTGCTTCTTCCGCGACCGTTCTGCGCTCACGCCGCTTTCTACGCCTGCTGTTGTCTCTCTCGCTGACCCTCTGCGGGTCCTGTCGTCGCGCGCAGTTCTACGTCCCTTCCCTGTCCGGCAGTTCCCTCGGGCTCCCTTACTGGCCTCCACGTTCCCTCGTTCTCGAGGAACCTGGTTGGTGTCGGCTGTCTCCAGGACCTCGGCGTCACCACCACGTTCCCCGGGCACGAGCGGTTCGCTGTCTGTTCTGAGGCTGTCTCAGGTTCCCCCCTTGCGACGTTCCCCCGGGACCCGGTGTCCGGTCTGTTTACCCTACACACCGCTTCCCCCCCGGTTGGTGCGTCCTCCCAGGTCGTTGCAGCTTGCTCGTGCCGGTCCCTCACTCACCCCTCCCTTCTCTGGCACCACCGCTTAGGTCACCCTGCTCTCCCGCGTCTGCGTCACATGTCCCAGCACGGTCTTGTCTTAGGTCTCCCCGCGTCGCTCCCTGCCCTTCCTCCCTCGACTGCGCCACCGTGCACGCCTTGCGTCGAGGGTTGGCTCCGCCGTGCTCCTCACTCCTCCTCGCTGCGTCCTGCTACTGCCCCCCTTCAGACCCTGCACCTGGACGTCTGGGGCCCTGCCCCCGTCCCCGGACCGCGCGGTGAGCGCTACTTCGTTGTGCTCGTCGACGACTACATGCGCTACACCACGGTGTTTCCCCTGGAGCGGAAGGCCGACGTGCCCGACGTTCTTCTCCCGTGGGTTGTGGCTGCGCGTCTCCACCGCGGTCTCCCCGTATTGTGTCTCCACTCCGACCGTGGCGGCGAGTTCGCCTCTGGTCGGCTTGGACAATTCTGTCGTGCGGAGGGCATCACCCAGTCGTACACGTTGCCGGACTCGCCACAGCAGAATGGGGTTGCTGAGCGCCGCATCGGCTTGGTCATGGAGGTCGCCCGTACATCCATGATCCATGCCGATGCCCCCCATTTTCTGTGGCCGTTCGCTGTTCGCTACGCTGCTCACCAGCTTAACCTGTGGCCACGCTACCAGAAGCCGTAGGTTTCGCCGACCCTCCTTTGGACCGGGTCCCCCGGTGACGCGTCTGCGTTCCACGTCTGGGGCTGCCTTGCTCACGTTCGTGCCTCTGGCACGGACAAGCTCACTGCCCGCACTGTCCCCTGTGTCTTCCTCGGTTTCCCCCTGGACTCGTCTGACTGGCTTTTCTACCACCCGCCGTCTCACCCTGCACTCTCGTGACGTCACCTTTGACGAGTCCGTCTCCTTCTACCGCCGCTTCCCTCACCGAGGTCTCCCAGTTGCCCCCCCCCTGTTCCTTGCTCCCTCTCCCCCGGTAGCCCCTGCCCCTCTCCCGCCTCGTCCTGCCCCGTCTGGTGTCTCTCACGTCACTCCCCTCCCGTCGATTGTCCCCGTTGAGGAGTCTGCTGACTCTGGTGGTACCCCCGGTCCGTCCTTGCCGATTCCCCCTTCCCCGGTGCCTCCGCCCCCACTGTCGCAGTCGCCGACCCCGCTGCCGCCGCCGTCGCCGCTGTCGCCGCCGCCGCTCTTGGCCCCTGGGGGTGCTGGTGTGGAGGAGGGTGTTCGTCCTGCGGCTTCTGGGGGTGCCGCTGGTGTTGGAGGGGGTTCTCGCTCTGGGGGTGTTGGTTCTGGGGGTGCTGCTGTTGAGTGTTCTGCCGACGGTCGTTCTGCCTCTGGTGGTCCGAGAGTTCCGGCCCAGCCGTCGTCGCCGCCGCAGCAGCCGTCGCCGCCGGTCTCCGCTCTCCGCCTGCTCGGCCTTCCCTCCCCGGACCGCGCGCCGGTGTCTCCCCCACCGCCTGCTGACCTTCCTGTCTACGGTTCTGTGTTCCCGCCGCCAGACTCGTCTCCGGCCCGTCTTCCTCCTCGTTCCCCTCCTGTGTCTCCTCCGCTGTCCCCTGACCCTACACCTCCGTCTCACGTTTGGGCTCGCCGTCCCTCCCGTGCTCGTCTCGTCTCTCCTGTCCTGCCCACCCACCCTATGTTGCTCTGTTCCCGCTCGTCTCGTCCTCCCCTCCTCCCTCGTCCCTTGCTGTTGCACCTCCTCCGTTCTTTGACTACCTCCGTGCTGCTCGTCCCCTTGTCCCTCGGGTCCTTGCCTCTCTTGTTACCGACCCTGCTGTTCCTGTCTCGCGCCTTGACGCGCTTGTCGCTGCTGTCGCTGACTTCGCCTCTACCCGCCGCCTTGACCACGCTACCGCTCTGGTCTCTGACCCTGC